CAGCTGGGTGCTGCGTGCAGCATCTCGATCAGGCCCGCACCCAGTAAGGTGGACATCTGAATCCCCATTTAACAGAGAAGTGCCAGGAGCACACACCCAATAAGTGACAGAACTAGGAATTGTCTTCTGCTGTTTTTAGGAAAAGCACGTCCTTACTGATTTTTCTGTTTGCAAATGTAATGCTTACAAAGTCACAGACGTTCAGGTACTTCCGGAACAGCGTAGAGAAGGTGCAGTCCATCCCTCGGGATAACTGCTGTCCCCGTTTGCGGCCCATTTCCCAGTGGCGTTTCCTAAACTTAGTACATCCTGTGTCGTTACTGCTATGGCTTTCTGAGTATCGGTGCTCTGCGTGCTTTGCTGGGCTTGACTTTCTTCATCTAGGAAAAGTGGGGGTAGCCATGATGTAGTGGGTGCCAAGTATGCGCTCCCCATTCTGCCCGTGTTATCCTGTTGTTGTTAGCTGCTGGAGAGTCAATTCTGACTCATGGCGACCCCATGTGTGCAGAGCAGAACTCTGCTCCACAGGGGTTTCAAGGCTGTGCCTTTCAGATGCAGATCACCAGGCCTGTCCTTCGAGGCACCTGTGAGTGGGTTTGAACCGCCAACCTTACAGCTAATACTCCAGCATTTAACTGTTGGTGCCACCCAGGGACTCCCCGTGTTACCCTTGGAGCTTGTTACTGGTATTTCCATCCCCATTATACAGATAGGGAAACTGAGGCACTGAGACGTACCTGGCTGTGAGTCACATGGCTAGAAAGTGTCAGGGCAGGGGTTTGAACTCAGTCTGGCTCCGGGCAACTTTCTTTTTTATTTTTATTTTTGTTAATTTATTGGCTTTTCAGTGAAGGTTTACACAGCAGTTTAGGTTCCTGTTCAACAAGTTATGTACAGATTGTTCAGTAACATCAGTTACATTTTTCACAATACGTAAACATTCTTTGTATTTCCATTCTGGTTGTTCTGTTTCCATTAATCTAGCTTCCCTGCCCGCTTACATTCTCATCTTCATTTTAAAGTAATTGTTGACTGTTTAGTCTTCATAGATGATTTTTTATAGAGCACAGTACTCACAGATGGTGTTCTTTTTTTGTGAGCCAGTCTGTTATGTAGTTAAAAGATGACCTCAAAGGCTAGTTTCTGTTCAGGGTTTAAAGAGAATTTCAGGGCAATAGTCTTGGGGAGTCCTCCAGTCTCCACCAGTCCAGTAAGTCTGGTTTTTTGTTTTTGTTTTGTTTTAGGAATTTGAGGTTCTGTTCCATGTTTTTCTCCCATTCTATCAGGGTCCATGTTTTGTGGCCCTGATCAGAATGGTCAGTAGTGGTAGCTGGGTACCATCTAGTTTTTCTGGTCTCAGGGTAGATGAGGCTGTGGTTCATGTAGACTGTTAGTCCTGTAGACTAGTTTCTTTGAGTCTTTGGTTTTCTCCTTTCTCTTTTGCTCCAGATGAGTAGAGGCTGATAGTTGTATCTCTAGGCAGCCATTTTTAATGCCTTTCCCTAAGTGATACCAAGGAGCCCTGGTGCCATAGTGGTTACAGTGCTTGGCTGCTAACAGGTCGGCAGTTTGAACCCACCAGCCACTCTGAGGGAGAAAGATGTGACAGTCTGCTTCTGTAGAGGTTACAGCCTTGGAAACCCTGTGGAGCAATTCTACTTTGTCCTATAGGGTTGATGGGAGTCAGAATCGACTCTACGGCAATGGGTTGGGTTGTTTGGTGACACCAGTCACTTTTCTGCCAAACTGTCTTCAGTGGTTTCCCTGTAAAAATGCAGAGTTCTTTTTGGGCCCTGAGGTGCTGCATGATCCCTCCCCGCCTGACCTCACCCCCGCGGAGGCCCATGAGCCCCAGCCAGGCCCTCTGCTTGGGGAGGCAGTCCCCGGGCGTGTGTCTCTGCATTCACTCCTGTCTCCTGCCGTCTCCTGTGTCCCCAGGTCATCAACTTCCCCTTCCCGACCCCTCCCTCCATAGAGGCCCTCATCGCTGCTGAGGAGCTGCTCGTCGCGCTGGGGGCTCTGCAGGCGCCCCAGAAAGCAGAGAGGTAGATCAGGGGCTGGGTGGGGAGGGTGGGGGGCGCGGCTTCTGCCCATCCTTGGTCCCTCCTCAACTGCGCACGTGTGTGCGCGCACACACACGCACACACTTGCACACACACACACCAGCCTGAGCTGACTGAGCACCAGGGCCTGATCCCTTGCACACCTCTATCCTCCAGGGTGAAGCAGCTGCAGAGGTCCCGGGTCAGCTGCCCCATCACCCCGCTGGGCAGGACCATGGCCACATTCCCCGTGGCGCCCCGCTATGCTAAGATGCTGGCGCTGAGCCAGCAGCATGGCTGCCTGCCCTACGCCATCACCATCGTGGCTGCCATGACGGTGCGCGAACTGTTCGAGGAGCTGGACAGGTGTGAGGCTGGGGGACTGGGGGGGTCGTGTCGGGCCTAAGGGGGAGCGCCTCGGGCACTTCGGGCAGGCCTCTCGTCCTCTCTGAGTCCTTTGCTGTCTCACCTCCCCTCTCACCACCTCTTCAGGTTGAGTGAGATGGCGAGACTTGGGCCCCTGGGGGGGTCTCTGTCAATTGGAGTCATTGATTTCAGAAAAAGTTCACTGACAGTGAATCCGCTTAAAACAGCTGCCAAAAGTCTGTAATAACCAGCGAAAAACAGTGCTGTTGAAAGAATGGTGCCAAAAAATAGAAAAATGCGTTGAGTGTACTGTAGATGTCATGAGATTTAGACTACAATGGTGAGTCCATGCTGGCTCCTAGAATGAGCCGGGATTCAGTGATCTCATTAGGACATGGCTCCACGTGGCGCACCCCCCTTCGCGTGTTTGCCTTTTGCGGCTTGATCCACACAAAGGCTCCTTTCTGCCAGCATTTCTGCAGGTAACTCCAGCTCCTCCAGGCTGGGCCCTTGTATGGCATGAGTGTCTTAAAATACCCCTGGGGAGGGCACTTGGTGTCGTGAACAGAGTTCGGCCTTTCGAGCCACGTGTGCCGTGCAAGAATACTATGGCATCCTCATTTCTTGTGGTGGTGAAGTTTGAGCTGAGCTTAAGAGTTCACTTGTGTTAATCAGGGACCCCACTGGGCTGAGGTCTCTCTGTGACCTGTCCTGGTTGATGAGTGTGTCCCCTGCCCCTGAGCCCTGAGGGCGGCCAGGCGGTAGCCCGGTGGTGTGTGTGTTTGTAGACCAGCCTCCAGCGACGAGGAGCTCGCCATGCTGAAGGGCAAGCGGGCCCGCGTGGCCCAGATGAAGAGGACCTGGGCAGGGCAGGGGGCCTCTCTGCTGCTAGGAGACCTCATGGTGCTCCTGGGTATGTGCCTGGCTGGGGGCAGGGGAGGCAGATGGAGGGGTGAGGGACTGGGAGGGGTTGCCAGTCGGGGCAGGGGGAGGGTTTGGGGTTGGGGTGGACGGAGAGGCTGGAGTAGGTGTGGCCAGTGAGGGGTGTGCAGGTGGTGGGGCTGGGGTGGGGTGGACAGAGGGGCTGGTGGAGGTGGCCAGTCGGGTGCATAGAGGGATGAGGGACTGTGGTGGGGGCTGCAAGCAAGCAGCCCCCCACCCCCTGATCCCCCTGCAGGTGCCGTGGGAGCCTGGGAATTTGCAGGCGGCTCGCCCCAGTTCTGTGAGGCCAACGGGCTGCGGTACAAGGCCATGATGGAGATCCGGCGCCTGCGGGGCCAGCTGACCACTGCAGGTAGGGCTTCCCAAGTGGATCCCAGCCTGCTTTGTTTCCCTCCCGTTCTTCCACACCATGGCCAGCCGTGCAGAGGGCTTGCTCGTCCTCAGAACTGAGAGCAGCTGGCTTTGCAGCCTTGCCCCTGGCATGAAGGGGCATCTGGACCTGTCTGTAGCAAGGTTGGGCTGCGGCATGGGAGGCTGGAAGCTTCTAGCAGGTGTCGGGGGCTGGGTCTCAGGTGGCTGAGTCCCTGCGTTCTTCTGTGTCTGTGTCCTGTCCCTACTGTGTGCTTGCTTCCTTCCCCACTCTTTCCTTTTCTCTCTCTTTTTTTTGAATTTACCAACGGTTTTGTAGGGGAGACAGAAGGGGATTTACATTGCATACCTCAGAACAAAACAAAAAATCAATTTCTCAACAAGATCCAAAATGTTGAGATAACACAAACTATCTTCTCTGACCACAGCCATCAAGGTAGAAATTAACAACAGGAAGAGCAAGAAAAAAAATCAATTACATGGAAACTGAGTAACACTCTGCTTACAAACCACTGGGTGATAGAAGAAGGCAGAGATGGAATCAAAAAATGTTTAGAATCAAACGAGAATGAAAACGCATCGTACCCAAACCTTTGGGACACAGCCAAGGCTGGCCTCAGAGGACAGTCCATAGCAATAGGTGCACACACCAAAATGAAGAAAGGGACAAAATCAAAACATTACCTGTACAACTCGAACCAATAGAGAACAGCAAAAAAAGCCCACAGCCACCAGAAGAAAGGAAATAATAAAGATCAGAGCAGAAATAAATGAAATAGAGAACAGAAAAACATAGAAAGAATCAACAAAACCAAAAGTTGTTTCTTTGAAAGGATCAACAAAATCAACAAACCACTGACCAGACTGACAAAAGAGAAACAGGACAGGACACAAATAACCCAAATAAGAAATGAACTGGGGGACATTACAACAGACCAAAAAACCCCAAAACTCCGTTTCCATCCCCACCTCCCTCCTTGGTCGTTCTCCCATTGTTCTTCTTACTGTCACTTCTCCCTTGAAGCACCAGGGCCCCAAAGTCACCGCCTCACTTCCCTCCCTCCAGGGTCTTTCCCCAAAACCTGGGTTCCTCTCCCTTCTCTCAGGCAGAGCCGCTTCCCTCTGTCTAATCCCCTGCCCCAGAGTCTATACCTGGCTCAGCAACACGGGACTTTCCTGCCAGCAGCACCCAAGGGAAGGCATGAGGCAGGAACGTTCTCCCCTCATCGTGCATGCTTACAGAGGAGACTCTGTATCTCGGGTCGTCTGCTCTGCAGACCTGTTCCTTTCACTGGGGCTAAGGGGTTACGTCCTTAGGTGGCGCAAATAGTTCGCATTTGCATACTAAGCTAAAGGTTGGTGGTTCGAACCCACACCACAGAAGAAAAGGTTGGCAATCTGCTTCCATAAAGATTACAGCCAAGAAGACCCTATGGAGTAGTTTACTCTGTAGCGCATGGGGTCACCATGGGTCATGGTGTGGGAGGTGCCAGAAGGTCCCCGGCAGAGCCGGCCCAGGCCCCAGCCCTCCGCTGAGGCAGCTGGTCCTCACCTCTGCCTGGTCTCCCCCAGTCAATGCCGTGTGCCCTGAGGCTGAGCTCTTCGTGGACCCCAAGATGCAGCCACCCTCCGAGAGCCAGGTGACCTACCTGCGGCAGATTGTGACAGCCGGCCTGGGTGACCACCTGGCCCGCAGGGTCCAGAGTGAGGAGCTGCTGGATGACAGGTGGAGGAATGCCTACAAGGTGGGCACAGCTGGGGTTGGCGGCGGGGGGCAGCGGGGCAGCCGTCGAGCCCTGGGGCTCTCCCTCCGCCCGCCCCACTGTCCTGCCAGCCTGGGTACTCCGGACGCCTGGCTCTGAGCATTTGACAAGGGGCAGGCTGACGGGACCCTTGGGGGCCGGGGTGAGCGTGTCCTCCTCAGTCGCTTGTCCCTGCAGCCTCTGGGAAAATTCCCACAGGGATGGGAGAAACAAGGATCGCATCTGAGTCCTGGCACCTAGACACGCCTGGCCCAGTCATGCATTTCTCTGCAGAGTGAGGTTATCTTCCCCCCAGCTTTTTTTACTAACAGCAAACTGAGATGTAACTCACACATCATAGAACTGACCCAGTTACAGCGCACAGCTCACTGGTAGGTCATGTTTTCACAGGGCTGCGCAGCCGTTACCACAGTCAGTTTTAGGACATTTTTATCATCCCCCCCAAAAGAAGCCTTGCATCCATTAGCAGTCACTCCTCATTCTCCCCCAGCCCCTGGTAACCACCCGTCAGCTTTCTGTCTTTATGGACTTGCCTGTTCTCGACATTTCATAGAAATGGAATCATAGGCTGTGTGGCCTTTTGTGACCGGCTTCTTTCACTCAGTATCATGTCGTCAGGGTGCATCCATGTGGTAGCGGGAATCAGTGCTTCATTTCTCTTTGTGGCTGAGTAGGTAGTATTCCCCCGTGTGGATGGGCCACACTGTGTTTATCCATCTCACTTTTTTGGCCGAGAGTGTGTAATTGAATCTTTATGTGGCGGAAGCACGCATGGAGGGCACCAGTGCTTGAATTTCTCCTGGACCGTTGCACACTCACCCTCTCTGTCCACAGACACCCCTCCTTGATGACCCTGTCTTCATCCACCCCAGTTCTGTCCTCTTCAGAGAACTCCCCGAGTTTGTGGTCTACCAGGAAATCGTGGAAACCACCAAGATGTACATGAAAGGTGCGAAGCCATGGCTGGCCTGGGGCTCCCCCTGGGGCTCCGACATGCACGTCCACCAGGCCTCCAGCCAGGAGGGCACCTTGGGGGCCCTGACGAGGACTTGGACCTCGTCCCCTGGCAGCAGGCCTGCTGTGACGCCAGGCTCCCCCTGTGCCCCAGGTGTCTCAGCTGTGGAGGTGCTGTGGATCCCCGTGCTCCTGCCTCCCTACTGCCAGTTTGGGCCACCTGCCGAGAAACCACCCCCTGCCTACTGCCCCAATATGGGGCGTGTGCTGTGCCACCGCGGCAGCGTGTTCTGTGAGTAGGCCCCTTCCTGGCTGCACGGCCCTCCTGCCAGCTGGGCCCCGGGAGACATCGTCCCGTATCTGTCCCCAGGAGGTGTGCATTGCAGAAGGGTCCGCCCAGGCCTCCTCTCTCTGATGGGCAGGGCCTGGTGGTCAGGGCCGACACTGGGAGGGCGGTCGAGGGGCAAGTGGAGAGTCCTTCCCCGGGCTCGTGCTCACCGGCTCCCGCCCCGCAGATCGGGTTGGCTGGCCACTTCCCGAGGTCCAGGTGGACTTTCCCGAGGGCATCGACCGCTACAAACACTTTGCCCGGTTTCTACTGGAAGGGCAGGTAGGCAGCCAAGTGGCTTCCCTTGGCCATTTTCTTAGGTTCTGTGGGCAGGAGATAAACGGGTGGTTCACCCCTGTCCGTGGTCTCTCTAGGTTTTCCACAAGCTGGCCTCGTACCAAGGCTGTCTGCTGTCCAGCCCCAGCACAATGCTAAAGACATGGGCCAGGTAAAGCCAGTTGTGAGTGTACCACGGCTGGCAGGGTGGTGGGGCAGGAGCCTGTGGATGTCCCAGGGCTGCCGTAACAAGTCACAGCAGCGTGTTCTCTCGCCGTCCTCAAGGCCCTAGGTCCAAAGTCAAGGGCGTCATTAGGGCCACACTCCCTTCAAGGGCTCTAGGGGAGGATCCTTCCTTCATCTTCCACCTTCTGCTGACTCCAGATGTTCACTGGCTTGTGGCTGCATCACTCCAGTCTCTGCCTCTGTCTTCACACGGCCTCTCTTTTCTGTCTCTTAGAACACCAGTCATTGGATTTAGGGCCTACCCTACTCCAGTATGGCCTCACCTTAATTTAATTACATCTACAAAGACCTCATTTCCAAATAATATCACATTCTGAGGCTCCTGGTGGACGTGAATTTTGGAGGACACTGTCCAACCCACCACAGAGCTGCCAGGTGTTAGCAGGAGGTGTCCTGCTCGCCTGATGGAGGGCAGTGTGGCTGTATTAGAGGGCGCAAAGAAGGATTTTATGGATTGAATTGCAGCCCCCAAAAGTCTGTGTTGTAAATCCTAACCCCTAATGTGTGGATATGGGAGCTTTGGTGGCACAGTGGTTAAGAGCTTGCCTGCTATCCAAGAGGCAGCAGTTCAAATCCACCAGCTGCTCCTTGGAAACCCTGTGGAACAGTTCTGCCCTGTCCTATAGGGTCGCTATGAAGCAGAATCGACTTGCGGGCAACAGGTTTTTGGTAACCTGTGAATGTGATCCCATTTGGGGATAGGGTTTTCTTTGTTATGTTAATGAGGACAATCCGTGTAGGGTGTGTTTTGAACCAATCTGCTTTTCAGATATAAAAAGCAGACTAGGCCCAGAAGCAAGCAGGAATAGGGGAAAAATAGATGCCACCTGGAGATCTCCAAGGAATGCTAGAAAAGCTGAGACAAGGATTTTCCCCCAGAGCGGACAGAGAGACTTCCTCTGAATTCAGACCCCTAGCCTCCTAAACTGTGAGAAAATAAATTTCTGTTGAGCCACCCACTTAGCGTATTTCTGTTACAGCAGCACCGGGAGACTAAAACAGGGGTAGCAGGAGAAGGGGGCATCTAGACTCCCCGACCCAGCACAGTGGAGAATAGGGCCCCCGCCGGACCACCTGCAGACTTTCACCTTCCTCTTGGCACGGCTGGTCCGGTGGTGCCGCCACCCTGCCGTCAGGCCCCTGTGCCGGCTCCCGCCCGGAGTGAGTGCCCACACCCTCTCCCCGCCCGGCAGGCTGCAGCCCAGGACGGAGAGTGTCCTGAAAGCCCTGGTTGCTGAGAAAGCAGACTGCCGCGACGCCTTGCTGGCTGCTTGGAAGAAAAATCCCAAATGTGCGTTGGACCGAGGGTGCCCCGTGCCAAGGAGGTGGGATGGACAGGATGGGGCCCTCCGAGGCAGGGGGCCGTACTGTGTGCGGGGTCAGCCAGGGTTGCGGGGCAATCTGCCACGTTCGACTGCGGCCTGGGCTCTTGCAGTGGACGGCTGGCCTCCTCTCCTGCCCTTCTCTGGGAAGTCCCTGAGTTCAGAGCTGCCTCTGACACGCTGTCCCCCTCCGCCTGCAGACCTGCTGGCTGAGTACTGCGAGTGGCTTCCACAGGCCATGCACCCCGACGTGGAGAAAGCCTGGCCCCCCACTTCTGACCGCTGACCGGCACCTGGCTACGGGCCGAGGACCAGCCAGGAGACCAGGGGACTGGCAGAAGGCAGTGTCCGGTATGGTGACTCCAGACCCTGGCCTGCTCCCAGAAGGCAGATCAGGCCCCTGGAGATGCTTGTTCATCTGAGCCCATTTCTGGACAAAGCTTGCCGCATCTAGGCAGTCCGTCCCAGCTGGGACAGTGTTTGTAACAGTTTATTATGTGATGGGTCATTTTTATCCCACCTGCTGGTTCCTGTGTATAAACGTGCTCTCGAACCACATTAGTCGCAGGGCTGGGAGTGAAGTTTGGGAGCAGCAGGGCATCTGTCCCTTGTCCAGTGGTGGCACTTGGAGCATACTGGCTGCGTTTCTTCCCTGAAGGTGGGGTACCATCCCCACAGTCGGGGGTGCAGTCACCTCTCAATGCCTGGCACTGGCCTCAGGCGAGTGGACAGCTCTGTTCTGACCTTGGGGACCTGGCTGAGGGCCTCCCCCAGTCTCCACACCCTTCTGTGAAAGCAGCCAAGTGGCCACCAGACCTTTCTTGTGCTGTGGCCACAAGAACTGGGGCGTCTGTCCTCCCTGACCAGATGGCCAGCTTCTGACATGGTACGTCCTCGTTCACTTCTGCCATGTGCCAAGGGCGGGCCTTGCACCTGGCTGGTGCCCGCACATGACAGCTGCTCTGTGGGCCTGAAGAGGGGCCCTGACCTGAGCTTCCTTCCCTGGTGGCAGAGAAGGAAGGGGGGAGGGCAGAGTAGGTCCCCAGGGGAGAACGAGGGACAAGAAGGCCCTAGTCCTCTGTGGTGAGGACTCGGGTGACGCACCCAGAGTACAACTCCTCCCCAGGATAGGCCCGGCAATGGGTTGGCTTCTCGCCACAGACACGGAGTTTGGTGAAGAAAGAATTATGAAATGACAGTGTTCCTTCCGCCCAGATGGTTTCGTCCAACAGACTCTGAAAGAACCCACGTGGGCACTTTGCTGTCTCCCTGAGCTCGGCTTGTCCACCGATCTGGCAGGAATCCCGCTGCAGCCTCACAACACTGTCTCAGGGCTTCCGAGGGAGCCTCATGCTGCTGGGCCTTCTTACCTCCCAGGTCACTCTCAAAGTCCTTGGCAAGGTCTCTCTTCCCCGCCTGCCCCTTAGACAAGGGGCTTCTCACGTCCCCTTCCCCCAACAACCCGTCCCTTCTCATGGCATATCCCTCCCTGGAGCTCAGCCCCTCCTGCTTCAGAGGTGGTTGCCCACAGCCCAGGCAACCTCCAAACTCATTCTGCTTGTTCCACACCATGATTGAGGAAAGCTTTAATTCCTTGCTAACATCTAGAACTGGGTTATTTCACGATCAAAAATCCCGATCACCAGCTTTTCTAGAAAATTCCAACCACACACTAAAGTATGTGTGAAAGTCATTCTCCCAACCACCATCTCTTGGGTACCCAAGCAGCCTCCCAGCTGACTTCCTGCCCTACTTCTCCCGTCCTTCACTCAGCCACCACGGCGAAGGAAAAAAACATCATTAGGGAACTCTTTTTTTTTTAAATTTTTTTTTATTGGTAGATAATTAATATACCGTATAAATCAGCATTTTAAAGAGTACAATTCAGTGGCTTTTAGTATTTGGAGTTGTTTAAACATCATCACTACCTAATTCCAGAATGTTTTTATCATTCCCAAAAAGAAAACCCGTGCCCATTAGCAGCTACCCCCTTATTTCTTCCCCAGCCCTCGGCAACTACTAACCTACTTTCTGTCTCTATGGATTTGCCTATTCTGGATATTTCAAACAAATGGGATCATGCAATACGTGATCTTTCGTGTCTTCTTTCATTCAGGTTGCATCCATGTTGTAGCATGTATCAGTACTTCATTTCTTTTTATGGCTGAATAATATTCCACTGTGTGTATATACCACAGTGTTTATCTGGTACAGCCATGGCATGAAATACTTTGCAGCCATTCACTGTGATACTTATTAACATGAAGCAGTGTTTAGGACGTGTGTGCTGAGTGAAAAGAAACCACGTTGCAAAGCTGACCAACAGGGTCCTCCCTAGTTATATGTGATATGGAAAGAGTTCACAGAGGAGGCTGAGACTGCTCTCCTAGAAAGGCCTGCTTGCACGGTGGGCCCTAGGCTGGAGGCCGGGAACTTGGCTTTCCGGAGGGTTCCCTCTGTTTCCTGATGACGGTGGCTCACTGCCGACAAGTGCTGCTGAGCGCCTGCTGTACTTCTGACAGTCTGAAATGCTGACGCGTGGTAGGCGTGCGAAGTACTGTGTGATATGGTTGTACCATCAGTTTCACACTTGTGCTTCAAAAGACGGCATAAAAAGTGAAAAGACAACCCACAGAATGGGAGACAATATTTACAACTCACCTGTCTAACAAGGGGCTAGTGCCTACATGAGCGGTCCCCAGTATAACCCCGGCCGCCGAGTGTCTAGTGGGCTTCCCTGGGCAGAAACACTGCTCATGTGCTGCTCTCTTTTGGTGGCTGGGGAGAGGGTGCTGGGTGTCACCCTCCTGGAGGGAGAGCATAAGGAAGCCTCCCCTGGGCCCTTCTACACCCGCTTGAGTCTTTGTCTCTTTCGATCTGGCTGTGTGACCGTGACTGCAGCTACAAACATAGGGACCTCCAAACATACATAGGAGACCTGCCCAGACTTGAATATGGAAACTAGTCTGGTTAGGTACCCACAAAAGTGTTAATGATGGTCACTGTGAGCTTCCATAGGATGTTGATTTTCCCTCACTTTTGCTTATGTATTTTTTCTTAAATTCCTGCTGATGTCATAACAAACACATGAATTCTATAAGTGCATAAGTAAAACAGCAAAGACACATTTGAATATTCTAAACCGGTTCAGTTTTCCCACAGCCCTCTCTCCACCAGCTCCTGGGTGCCTCCAGAATAGGAAGCTTCCCAGAGTCCTGTCTCTCCCACTTCCCACCTCAAGTCCTGCTGGAATTACTCCACAGTTTATCCAGAACCCTGTCATCCACTGCTCCACCCAGGACAAGCTTCCACCAACTCCCACTGGGCCATGGCTGTAGCCTCCACGGGCCCTGCCTTCCCAAAGTCTATTCCCTACGTGGCAGCCAGAGGGAGCCTTTTGAAGCCTAAATCGGATTGTGTCACTCCCCTGCGTCAAGCCTTTCGGTGTCTTCGAAGAGCAAGTTCAACCCCTCTCCCCTCAAGCTCTAAGTTCCCTGCACGGGCCTTGCTTTCTGTCCCAACAACACACAGTCCATACCCTCCCCACAGCCTCAGGGCCCTTGCACTTGCCTTTCCCTTTGCCGCACGTGCCCTTTCCGCAGACCTGAAATGTCATCTCAGAGAGGCTTCCCCGGCAGCTTGTCCAAAGCAGCCTCCGCCGCCGTTCAGCCTCCATCTCATCACTTACGTTGTCTTCATAGAACTTATCCGTGCTTGCTTATTGTTAGTCGTCTGGACGAGAATGTAAATGCCGTGAGTGCTGAGAAACCTCGCTTGTCTTACGCAGGTTTACCAGGCTACTTGACGTTCTGCCTGGGGCACACAGTAGGTGCTCAGTGCAGGCACAACATCTGGCATTAAGCTCTTAGGAGTTATTGAATGAATGGCCAGCTGCAAAACACTCGTTGGAAATCCGGTGTTTGTCTGCCTGATAAGAATAACTAGCAGTGTTTGTCTTAGAAACGCTGATTCACCGGCCTGCCGCCAGCCCATTAGGTCCAAACCTCCAGGGGAGGGACCCGGGCATCTGTAATGAAGACCAGGGGCGTTTGCTAGCCCTGCTCCCTATTCCACCACCCCCCTCCCCGCGGCTCCCCCGACCCCCGTGCACAGGCCGGCTAATGGGGCCTCTCCGATCCCCTTCTCTGCCTCCGGGTCGCGGGACTGTGGTTTAAACGGAGAGGGGAAAAGAAAACACGAAGTGGAGATGCCGGGGATTGAACCCGGGGCCTCATACATGCAAAGCATGCGCTCTACCACTGAGCTACATCCCCTGACAGGAAACCAAGATAGTTTACAAATGGTGATACAGGAAGTCAGGCCTTCTCTCTGCCTACGCACGTTCCACGCACGTTCCACGCACGTTTCCTCGTTCCAGAGTCTCAAGGGGGCGTCTCCGCGGTCCCAGGAGATACCTTACCTGTCAGAGACGCTACACTTGTGAAGACCCCGCTCCGTAGCGATATCCGGAGCACGAGATTGGTATATGAGTTCACCAGGAAAAAAACAAGCGTTGGGTGCGTCCTCGTTAGTATAGTGGTGAGTATCCCCGCCTGTCACGCGGGAGACCGGGGTTCGATTCCCCGAGGGGGAGACTACTGCATGTTTTATATAACATTCTAAATGCAAAGGAGCATCTTTCTGACTCCGTGATCAATACGAGGATGTATACTTACAGTCGTTCTCACAGCAGCCTAAATTAGGGTACACACAAAGGATGTCGCGCCCTCCAGGAATAAGCATAGTTCCTGAATGAAAAAAGGTAAATAAGTACTCAGTATTGTGTGCATTAGGTTCACCTTTATGTTTCCTCTGCTGGGTCAACGCTCATCTCCCTTGTGCAATAATAACTTCCAGATAGATTAAAAAGGTACATATATTGTTTTAGTTATCTAGTGTGCTATAACAGAAATACCACAAATGGATGGCTTTAACAAAGAGAGATTTATTCTCTCACAGTCTAGAGAGCTAGAAGTTCGAAATCAGGGTGCCAGCTCCAGGGGAAGGCTCTCGCTCTCTGTTGGAAGGTCCTGGTCAAGTAGCTTCTCAGCGCAGGACGCCGGATCCAAAGGATGCGCTATTATCCTGGCTCTTGTTTCTTGGTGGTATGAGGTCCCCCTGTCTCGCTGGTCACTTCTCTCTTTTATATCTCAAAAGAGATTGACTTGGGACACAACCTCATCTTGTAGATTGAGTCCTGCCTCGTTGACATAACTGCCGATAATCCCACCTCATTAACATCGTAGAGACAGGATTTACAACACATAGGAAAACCACATCAGATGACAAAATGGTGGACAGTCGCACAGTACTGGGAATCACGACCTAACCAAGTTGACACGCATTTTCGGGGGACACAGTTCCATCCATAACATATACTCAAAAGCAAAAGAGAATAAACTGCCCACCTCTGTGCCCTTGCCCCTCCTCCCCTTCTCTCTTCCCACTCTCTACCTCTTCCAACCTCATTTTCTTTCTGTCCCTCCAACAAGCCAAGCTTATTTCAGCCTCAGGGCCTTTCCATTAGCTGTTGCCTCTGCCCAGGATACCCTTCCTCCAGATCTTAATATGGTTGACTCTTCATTCTTCAGGTCTTCTCAGGTCTCCCCTTCTCTTACTGTCCCCTCACCCCAGGTATTCCATCTCATTACCGTGATATATTTTTCTTCTTAGCGTTTGCTATTATACCACATTATCTTGTGAAGGTATTTGTTGATAGCCAGACGGTCATTAGGTGCTCAGCAAATACATATTGGATGACTACAAAAAAGGAAGGACCTCCCTACTCCCACTCACTCAGCCACCTACTTCCCAGAAGGAAGGGAAGCAGGGAGCCAATGCCGGATATTGACCATCGTGTTGACTTCTTCATACCTTGAAACTGAGCAGGAGCCCAAAGGAGAGAAGGCCACGTTTGGAGGCCGGATATGAGTCACTCAGTGCCCCAAGGAAAGCCACTTCTAGTTGGTGTGTCTTCCTACAGGCCTTGGTGTGGTCAGCGTCCCTGTCACACCTTAGGCTGTTTGGGGAGCTGCACCCAAGGGTGACGTTATTCCTTTGTGCAGAGAGGCAAGCTTGAGAAGCTGAGCTCTGAGCCAGGAAGGATTCGGTTATTCGTTTGTTCGTTCGTTTACCCAACAAATATTTATTAAGCACCTACTACGGTTCAGGCACTTTGCTAGGCACTGAGGGATACAGTAGTGATCAAAGCAGGCGACTTCCTTGCTCCTCTTGGGGCTGTCATGCCAGCTGTGGAGGCAGAGAATGGACGAAGAAATCAGAAAATAAGCTAACAATATATAATAAGTGGCTGTGACTGTGTCCGGAGGAGTGCTCAGGGAACGTTTCTCGCAGGAGGGGCCGTCGCACGTAGATGACAGATTCCGGAGTGCCGGTATCAGGCTGAACCCAGCCCAAGAGCCGGGGCCTTGCGAGCTCGACGAGGAGGAAGAAAAGAGAGACGAACTTTCTTGGTGGCCGAAATAGCTCAGTTGGGAGAGCGTTAGACTGAAGATCTAAAGGTCCCTGGTTCGATCCCGGGTTTCGGCAGCAACTTTTTTTTTTTTTTTTTTACATTCCCTGCCTCTTCCTTCGCGAGAGGGAAAACCGTTTTTTGTTTTTTGTGTTTTTTTTTTTTTTTTAAAAATTAAAGCTGACTCTTTCCAACTAACAAAGGGATTTCATTTTCTTTAAAACAGCCCCGAGTAGTATCCCCTGGAAGCCAGGGAGGATCGAAATTTTCCCCAACTCCCCATTTGGGGAAAATTTAACAAAGACAAGTTTTTCCTGGCTCCATTTATTTTATTTCATAAATGCTTATATATATAAGCATATACTCTGTTCATTAATCTTTGCTTTGCGTTTATTAGTTTCTGTTCTCTAAACTCTCGCAGCTAAATCAAGGACCGAGCAGGAAACGATCTCCTTAAACTGGTATTAAGTCGGCGTTTTCGTTGTTTTGTACAATAAAGTACAGTATATAATCCTCTGGGGCACGTTAATAGTTAAAGAATGCCGCATATACCTTAAAGGGAGCGCTTGAAAGTTTATACGCAGCGCTCATCCTCGTTAGTATAGTGGTGAGTATCCCCGCCTGTCACGCGGGAGACCGGGGTTCGATTCCCCGACGGGGAGGCTGTGATTTCTTTTCTTTCCCACTTTCTTGTAAACTAGTTTTAATTTTCATATAAATTCCTTCTTTTTCTTTAGAAGAATAAACTCAACAACCAAGCGAAATTCAGTCTTGCAGTTTTCTATTGACTTTCTGCTTGTCCTTGTCACTAGTTTCTCAATGGTTAGCAGCATGGCTTAAAAAAAAAAAAAAAAAGACAAAGTTCTCACGCTGAAGTGTATTTTTTCCTTTTTTTGCATCCCCCACAGCGCTGCTGTAAATTGTTTCGTTTATATAATGGTTTCCCAGAATCAAACTGTCAGCTTCTATTGTCAGGGACTGATAGGTCTTCTGCAAATATTTCACCTGATGTCTTGCTCCAGCCGAGATGCTGGCCCTCAAAAAATATTTATGGATTTGAGATGGCGAGGTACGGTGGCTCTAAGCTGAAAAGTTTTCTTGTCTTTAATTCAGTTGCGCTCTCAACTCCCTGAAGACAGCTATCATCCTTCTCAGGCTCCTGTTGGTTCATTTGTTCATTTATTGTTTCACATTCATTCCACAAATATTTTCTGACTATCTATTATGTGGCAGGCATTGTTCTAGGCATTGGGAATATAGCAGGGAACAAGACAGACAAGGCCCTGCCCTCCTGAGCTTGGATCTAGTGAGGGACACAGGTGATAAACAGGAAATAGTATAAAGACAGGTTTACAGAGTGATAAATGCTATGAAGAAAATAAATAACAAAGGGGTTGACAGGGAATGAGTGGGATTCGTAGGCCACTTTAGAGAGGTGGTCAGGAAGGTCTTTCTGAGGAGGTGACATTTGTGCCAGTACTTTGACAACGGAAAGATGAAGATCTTAGGAACAGCATTCTAAGCAGAAGGAACAGCAAGTGCAAAGGCCCTAAGGAGGGAAGGAAGCTGGCAAGGAGGCCAGCGTGGCTGGAATGCCCTGAGAGAGAGAGGTAGGCGAGGAAGTCAGAGAAGTCAGCAGGGGCCAGTCACGTGGGGGCCTTATAAACCGGGATAAGAAGGGTGGATTTTATTCTACAAGTTTTATGCATTATCAGACGCGTTTCAAGCAGATCACTCTGACTGCTGTGCAGGTGGGCAAGAGAGGAAGCAGAGGCACCTGCTGAACCATCCCTGGGGTTGCTCATAAATCGTATCCCAAATGGCACCTATGGCGCCACCTTTCCGTTTCGCTGGCAGTGGGGAGGTACCCCTCACATCACCTCCAACTTCTTTTGGAGGAATAAGGACACAGGGTGGCTTACAGAGAGCCCAATTCCACACCTCGCCTAATTTCTGTCCTGCTCTTCCCCTCTGCCTCACCATAACAGGGTCGGCAAAGCATCAGTTCACTGCTGGGGTGACTATGAGTAGCAGCATCCCTTCACCAAAAAAAAAAAAAACCTGTTGCCATTGAGTAGATTCCAACTCATAGCGACCCTATAGGACAGAGTAGAACTGCCCCATAGGGTTTCCAAGGCTGTAAAACCAAAAGGGAAGAACATGCTAGGCATTTCTCAAGCTGAAAGAACTGAAGAAAAAATTCAAGCCTCAAGCTGCAATAGTGAAGGATTCTATGGGGGAAAATATTAAACTACGCAGGAAGTCTTGAAAGAAGTTGAAAGGAATACACAGAGTCACTGTACCAAAAAGAATTGGTCTACCTTCCACCATTTCAGGAGGTAGCATATGATCAGGAACCGATGGGACTGAAGGAAGAAGTCCAAGCTGCACTGAAGGCATTGGCAAAAAACTAGGCTCCAGGAATTGACGGAATATCAACTGAGACGTTTCAACAAACGGATGCAGTGCTGAAGTGCTCACTTGTCTATGCCAAGAAATTTGGAAGACAGCTACCTGGCCAGCCAACTGGAAGAGATCCATATTTACACCTATTCCCAAGAAAGGTGACCGAACCAAATGCAGAAATTATGAAACAATATCATTAGTATTACAGGCAAGTAAAATTTTGCTGAAGATCATTTAAAAGCAGCTGCAGCAGTGTATCAACAGGGAACTGCCAGAAATTCAGGCCAGATTCAGAAGAGGACGTGGAACCAGGGATATCATTGCTGATATCAGATAGATCCTAGCTGAAAGCAGAGAATACCAGAAAGATGTTTACCTGTGTTTTATTGACTATGCAAAGGCATTCAACTGTGTGGATCATCTCAAATTATGGATAACATTGCGAAGAATGGGAATTCCAGAACACTTAATTGTGCTCATGAGGAACCTGTACATAGATCAAGAAGCAGTTGTTTGGACAGAACAAGGGGATACTGCATGGTTTAAAGTTAGGAAAGGTGTGCATAAAGGTTGTATCCTTTCATCATACCTATTCAATCCGTATGCTGAGCAAATAATCCGAGAAACTGGACTATATGAAGAAGAACGGGGCATCAGGACTGGAGGAAGACCCATTAACAACCTATGATATGCGGATGACACAACCTTGCTTGCTGAAAGTGAAGAGGACTTGAAGCACTTATTGATGAAGATCAAAGACCACAGCCTTCAGTATGGATTACACCTCAACATAAAGAAAATCAAAATCCTCACAACTGGACCAATAAGCAACATCATGATAAATGGAGAAAAGATTGAAATTGTCAAGGATTTCTTTTTACTTGGATCCACAATCAACAACCGTGGAAGCAGCAATCAAGAAATCAAAAGACACATTGCACTGGGTAAATCTGCTGAAAAGGACCTTTTTAAAGTGTTGAAAAGCAAAGATGTTTGTTTGACGACTAAGGTGCGCCTGACCCAAGCCATGGTGTTTTCAATCGCCTCATGTGCATGCAAAAGCTGGACAATGAATAAGGAAGACCGAAGAAGAATTGACACCTTTGAATTGTGGTGTTGGTGAAGAATATTGAATATACCATGGACTGCCAAAAGAACGAACAGGTCTGTCTTGGAAAAAGCACAACCAGAATGTTCTTTAGAAGCAAGGATGGCGAGACTATGTCTTACACACTTTGGACATGTCGTCAGAAGGGACCAGTCCCTGGAGAAGGACGTCATGCTTGATAAAGTAGAGGGTCAGTGAAAAAGAGAAAGACCGTCACGAGATGGATTGACACAGTGGCTGCCACAATGGGCTCGAGCATAACAAAGATTGTGAGGATGGTGCAGGACTGGACGGTGTTTCGTTATATCGTACATATGGTTGCTATAAGTCGGAGCCCTCTCAACCGCACCTAACAACAAAAACGTTTACAGAAGCCAACTGCCACATCTTTTTCCAGCTGAGGGGCTGGTGGATTCCAACTGCCGACTTTTAGTGGTTAGCAGCCCAGCGCTTAACCACTTCCCCAGCAAATAATAACAATATTTATTATAATAACAACTCACATATCAAAGCACTACCTTGGACCAGGCACTGTTCTAAATGTTTTATCTGTAACTTACTGAATTCTTACAAGGACCCTATGACTCCATTTTACAGATGAGGAAACTGAGGCCCAGAAAGTTAAGTAATAGTAAAATCATAGCTGCCGTGTACAGAGTCTGTTCTGCCTGGAAATCTCGAGCCCTGTTTTCTGCCCTCTCCAGGTCTGTTACCCACTCCTTCATCACTGAAGGGCCTTTTGATGATTTGAAGGACAGTAAACCTTGTGTGGCTTCTCTCCGCTAGTGTGCTTAATAAGCTCTCATGGAAACCTGTTGCTGTAGAGTCAATTCTGACTCATGGAGACCCTATAGGGTAGGGTAGAATTGCCCCATAGGGTTTACCAAGAAGTGCCTGGAGATTCGAGCTACCGACCGTTTCGGTTACTAGTTATACTCTTAACCACTAAGCCACCAAGCTTTTCCTGTAAAAGAGGGATATGCTAATTCCTAATGACTCTTTTCAATAAATTATTGACTCCTTCCTCTAAATTTAAACCATGATTCTGAGGGCTGGATGTTTCTTTTTAATTTGCCCATTCTTATATTTAGAAGAGTTTCTTTTGGGAAAAAAAAAGTCTTCAAGCAGATGTGCAAACTTCAAAGTCACTGAAGTTTGAATGGTTTTAAAGGAAGAGAAACCAGAAATACGTAAGTTGGAGTGCCATCGGGCAAAGTCTGTTTATTGGAGAGAAAGACTTTCCTTTTCCTTTCCCCCTTTCCTGTCATGGGAAGAGCAAATTTAAGAACGAGTCAGTTTTGTTTGTTCCTTGGTTCTGGTATCAACCAGCATTTTAGCTGCAAAGCTATGAAGCAGCAGCCATTTGAGAAACAGGAAATGATATAGTTTGGTTTGCTTTTGTCTCAACAGCGACTAACCACAACAACAATATCCACTTAAATATACAATATTTTAATCAGGAGTAAAACAAAATACCTCAAAAATAGAGTATAGCAAACATTCTCAAGAAAGGCTTTTTTTTTTTGAAAGTTAGGGGATGTAGCTCAGTGGTAGAGCGCA